AGGAGAAGAGGGAGGGTAAGTTGCTTCCTCCCTGCCTCTCCCCACCTCTGCCTGCCTGGGGCCAGGGAGGGCCTTCGCGGGGCTTGCTTGCACTCCCGCCGGCCTTGCAGGTCCACCGCCGGGCCCCTCATGGGGCTTGGCAGTGGAGCTGCAAGGCCGGCGGTGGCGGCCAGGACCGTTGGGGGCGGGGTGTGTGGCCTTATGACACATTTCCGGTGATGTCAGGGGGTGTGGCCTTATGACACACTTCCGGTGATGTCAGGGGGTGTGGCATATGCTAATGAGTTATGCTAATGAGTTCCCCTAGCTCTTTTCCTACAAAACGACCCCTGGTATTTCTCCACGAAATTAAAGCAGGAAAAATACAGTAAAAAGATAATCTAGGCAGCTAGAAGTACATTTCTCCATAACATGATTCCAGGGACAGCAAGAAATAAAAGGTAGGGAAGTTTTAATCTCACAGAAGGATTTCTTTCCCATTTATAGTAACAGTTTAAGAAACAGACTTACCGCTCACTGACTGCCATGACATCCAGGAGATTGGAGAAGAGGATATGAGCCTCTGAGGGATGTAGGATCTTTTTCAATCTCTCATTTTCCATGAAATGATATATCAGCAGGTTCATGCTTTTGTAGTATGAAGCTTCTGAAGTGACCAGTTCAAACATGGCCTGCAGAATCCCAAAATTGCATGTGAAGACAGTGAACACTTCAGTCATTGTCATCTGCTCACCTTCAACAGTGCATAAATATTCACAATTTTGTATCATTACTGTATCATCTCCCTAAACAGTCCACGAAGACCAAAAGAAACTGAAAGTACATGCAACAAGTGGCACATCCTAAAAGGCATAGCTGAAAAAAGAGAGCCTGATTAACTATTTTATTCAACCTGGATGCAATACATACACTTTGGAAACCACTGTCCCAATCCAACCAGGAAAATCGCCACTTGCAGTGGACACAGATGCTCATTCAGTCCTACTGAACTTGATAGACCTACAATTGATTTGAATGGTACTGTGCCTTCCATTTACAGCCACTAAATACATGCAACAAAGGATGGTTACAGATGGATCAAGGGCTGCACATTTAAAACAACAGTCATACTTCCTCTGCAGTAATGAATCTTGAACATGTCACATGAAATTATTGTTTCTCTAAGTCTATAGAAGATTCTATAGCACTGGAATGTAATTATCACTATTTCCCCCTTGTTATAGTGTTTTAAATTTTAAGAAATGCCCCTGTATAATTTGATATGAATTCTTCCACTGATGTTGACAGTGGTAAATGGGAAGGGAAGGGGACTGAGAGCAGCATTCTACAAGTGAAAGGGAAGTGTCTATGGGAAAAGACATACATACAGGAGAGAGGATAAACATTCAGGCTTCAGTTCTATTGTGAGTTTTTAACTATCAGGGACGAGGATGAAATCCACACAGTACATTATTCTTTAATTGCTTAATGTGGGGATGTTGCACCTTCTGTAAAGCACTGAACACAGAAAAAAAATGAGTGTGGTGGCAAGAAGTCTGAAGGGGGAAAATAATCAAAGGAAGAAAGCAATGATTTCTCACCACTGAAAAGTGCTTTCCCAATTATTGTTGTTGCCTGTTTCAAGAAGGCATTTAACAAACTAACACCCATAAACCCACTTACTATTCCTGTCACCTTTTGTTCAAAATTTCAAATTATATTAGTAATTCTTACTAACATTCTGATGTGAATAGTAATAATTATCCTCATAAACAGATCCTCTAATATGGATCTGTGTTTAATATCAGCTTGTTGCTACAATATAAAATTAACCTGTTGCCAACATGACCCTAATTCTGCCTACTGCAGCCGACTTCAAGTTAGTATAAACAACTACTTGATATAATCTACTGTTCCTAAATTTAAGTAATTTCAGAATTTGAAATTGAAATCATTAGGTCTACATATATTGGTAAGGTTGTCCCAAGTAAAAAGGCTGTCAAGCCAGGCCCGGTTATGCAGTAGGGAATCTGCAAGGACTTCTTCAGCAGGCACCTAACTTTCCCCTGTATCCCACTATTACTTCTTTTCCTCCTCCTGGCAGCCCCATACCCTCACTTTCCCCTGCTTCCTTCTCTCCCTCCCATCCAACAACCAACCTGCTTTATATAGTCTTTAGCTATATTTATTATTTCTTTTACACCCTACCTCATAATGAGAACTAAAGTCACTTACATTCTCCAGTTTTGTGCAGTGGTTAAGTGCACAGAATCTAATCTGAGAGAACCAGGTTTAATTCCCCACTCCTCCACTTGCAGCTGCTGGATGACCTTGGACAAGCCATAGTTCTGTCCGAGCTGTTCTTGAAAGAGCAGTTCTCGAATGAGCTCTCTCATCCCCACTTATTTCACAGGGTATCTGTTGTGGGGAGGGGGAAGGGAAAAATGTTTGTAAGCCACTCTGAGACTCTGACTGAAGGGCGGGGTATAAATTCAATCTCCTACTCCTCTTCTTCTTCCTCTTCTCCAACCTTGTGAGGTAGGTTAGGTTGAGTCTGTAACTGTCCAGTGAGCACCACAGCAGAGTGGTAACTCGAACCTGGGTTTCTCAGGTTCTGGTCTGAAATTCTAACCAGTATACCACACTGGCTTTCATGGGGTTGCTGCTGTTAAACGGTTGTAAGCAGCCAGGCCTGGGTGAGTCATGCAAGTCATGTGGTAGCAAGTTCGTAGAATCATAGAGTTGGAAGGGACCTCCAGGGTCATCTAGTCCAACCCCTGTGCAATGAAGGAAATTAACAAATACCTTCCCCCAACACCCCCAGTGACTCCTGCTCTATGCCCAATTGCCAGTGGGGGTCGCTGGGCCTGGCCCCAGTGAGTCCTTTGAAGGCCAAAAACAGCCCTGAAAATGGCACCCCCCCACATACTTTACAGACAAAACCCAACACTTGAAGGCTGGCAATATTGTTGTGGTTGCCTAGCAATGGCCACTGAGGGCACTTGTTTCTTAAAACAACATGGACTTCTTCTATTGGGGGGGTTAACCGCTCAATGTATTTATTTTTGATTTCTGCAAACCTGGGACTTTTCTTGGGTTCATTAAAAGAGCTGTCTTGTTTGTTCAGGTCCCCAGACTCTGGATTTAATTATCCACAGATAGGACCATGTTGAGAATTAGTTATGCAGATATATCAAAGACAGCTGCTACACCTTTTAGAATTCATGGAACAAAATACTGCTGATGGATGGCAAGACAGTGTGGCAAGTCATGGATCACTGGGCTAGTTGTTTGCACGGCAGAATGTTGTCCCTCTCTCTCCTATTGAGAATGAGGGCAATGAAAGGTCTTTATTAACCCTCAGTGATTGTCATGCAGCAAAATCTGCTTGGCTATGTGCTGCTGTGTCATAATCATTTTCACTAGTGAGGCCAAGCATGAAGTGAAGAGGGAGGGCTAAAAATGGCAGCAGCGTGTTGCCGCTGTCAACAAACATTTAAAAATGAAAGACCACTAACAAAGAGGTTTCTCATTCTACTCAAAACCCTAATTTTCACCTTATACGTGCTTGTGAAAATTCAGAGCAGCACTATAAGCTACGATTCAGTGTAGTTTTGACCTATAGTGCATTAATTTTCCTAATACCATTCCTTTCCTAAAATGTTCTGTGTTCCTAGTTAAGTGCTCACCATCTTACATAAGAACATAAGAGACGCCAATGCTGGATCAGGCCAAAGGCCCATCCAGTCCAACACTCTGTATCACACAGTGGCCAGAAATACCAGGTGCCATCAGGAGGTCCAGCAGTGGGGCCAGGACATTAGAAGCCCTCCCACTGTTGACCCCCCCCCCAAGCACCAAGAAGACAGAGCATCACTTGCCCCAGAGCCCCTATCTATACCTTGTGGCTAATAGCCACTGATGGCTAATGCATGACTGCATTAGGCATGGCCAAAACCAATGGTACCCTAATCTGGATGGCCCAGGCTAGCCTGATCTTGTCAGATCTCAGAAGCTAAGCAGGGTCACACTGGTTAGTTTTTGGATGGAAACCACCTCTGTTAGCCTCTTGCCTTGAGAACCCTATGGAGACACTGTAAGTCAGCTGTGACTTGACAGTACTTTCCACCACAAAAACAACAGTAATTCAGCCCTTAACATGATATCAAGGATTCAATTATGAACTAATGTTTCCTTGTTTGCTGGGATATGTGAAAACATTTCGGTGCCTGAAATCCTGTGAACACCTTTCTGGGATAAGTCCAATTGAATAAAGTGGGCCTTACTTTTGAGAAGACCTGCTTAGGATATCTCCACGATGTTCCTAGCCTCCATTTTACAATAGAATATCATGTGCATTCTGCCAAAGATACTATTATGGGCTTTAAAATGTTGAAGCATGGGAAAGCAAAACTAGATCAGAAAATCAATACACACAACAGAGTGTAGTCAGCATGCGCTCAAGTAAGACTGAAGAGAAGAAATGTGAAGACTGAACGGAACAAGAAGGCAAAATCATATTTCTCTGTTACAAGAAAAATAATGTTACATAGCCAAACTTGCCTTCAAGTTTTCTTAACTCTGTGAAACAAGAAGCCCAATATTATAGTGAAAAATGTTTTTTAATCTGCAGTAGTAAACTGCTGAATACATGTAATTGATAGGTCCTTGTTCCCAGCCTCCCTCATTACTGTCACATTCTCCGTCATTTTCTCTATGTCTGCTCAGTACAAGAACCAGAGTAATGTCTCCCCTAGCTTGTTCTTCTATTTTTTGTATCGTTAAATTATCTTCCCTATAACTCAAGAATGACCTTGGTGATTCACATTATTCTGTCTCGATGCTCAACAGATGTCTAGATAATTAAAGCTATCCATCAGCAATAAAGTCATTTTTCTCTTTATTGTATTAGTGGTTTCCCCCTCTTCTTATAACCCTGGTGGTCTAATACACTTCAGCCCACAATACTGTGCAGTTACCATAATTTTCAATTAAGATCATTTTAAAGTAGCTTTCAGATTTATTGAAAACTTAAAGTCAAAAGTAATTACTTCCCCCTTGTCTTGCACACAAACTCTTATTGACTAGACTTCACAAGGAAGATCCACATCTAGTTCTGGAAGCATTGGTTTAGCCAACATTTATTTGCTTTCTTTATACATCAGTGGCCATTTCTTCAATCTCTTCTTGTGCCTGTTTTGATAATTATTGACCTAGCCTTCCCAGTATTTTCAAGGTAAAGGTAAAGGTTCCCTTGCTCGAAAGCCAGTCGAATCCGACTCTAGGGTTGCGGTGCTCATCTCCGTTTCAAAGCCGAAGAGCCAGTGCTGTCCGAAGACGTTTCCGTGGTCATGTGGCCAGCATGACTAAACACCAAGGCACACGGAACGCTGTTACCTTCCCACCAAAGTGGTACCTATTTATCTATTTGTGATTTCTTGCTTTCGAATTGCTAGGTTGGCAGGAGCTGGAACTAGAGACGGGAGCTCACTCCGTCTTGCGGCACCCGGGTCTCAAACTGCTGAACTACTGACCTTCCACAGCCTGCAGTTCAGCGTCTTAACCACTTGAGCCACCGCAACTCTTGTTTTGGTGTTATTATTTACTTACGGCCTCTTGCAGTCTTGTATGAAGCAAAAATGCACTGGTATGATTCCCTTTTCTTGGCAAAATTCCCTTTTCTTTTCTTATA